GGGTTTGGGTCAGGTTTGGGTCAGGTTTTGGAGTGGCATTGGATCAGGGTTTGGATTGGAATTGGATCTGGTTTGGATCAAGGCTTGGATCAGGGTCTGGATCAGAGCTGGATCAGGGTTTGGATCAGAATTGGATCTGGTTTGGATCAGGGCTTGGATCAGGGTTTGGGTCAGGGTTTGGATCAGAATTGGATCAGGGCTTGGATCAGGTTTGGATCAGAACTTGTATCAGGTTTTGGGTCAGGGTTGGGATCAGCATTGGATCAGGTTTTGGGTCAGGGTTGGGATCAGGGTTTGGATTAGAATTGGATCAGTGTTTGGGTCAGGATTTGGGTCAGGGCTTGGACTGGGGGGCTCGAGGGGAACTCGAGGGACTCTGCTGCTGCTCTCCCCGTGCAGAGCTCGTGGCCGCAGCAGCAGCAGCAGTTTTGGGATGGGAACAGCAAACCTTGACTCAGCATTCAGGGCACTTCTGCTGAGTCATCGGGCGGGCTCAGCAGGGAGCAGCTTTTTGCTGACTCCAAACCCCCAGTTCCCCATTTCTGTCCAAAATGTGGGCTGGAAGCGCTGGGCCCCGGGGCAGCAGGAAGTGGGGGAGGCGGATTTTGGGGAAGTCGAGGCTCAGCTCTGTCACCAGACCCTGGGACAGCGTTTGGGGTGCAATGACTCTGCAGCTGCGGCCACGGGACCCCCAGCACGGGGGGATTGGTCATGGGGTGTCCATGGGGAGGTCCTGGCGTGGGAATCCAGCCTGTCCTGAGCAGGGAATGTGGGCAGGGGGGCAGCAGGTCCTGGCAGCTGCAGGGATGGGTTGGGCAGGAGGGGCTGAGGAGCCGATCTGATGTCCCTGCTGTCACCTGGGCAGGTGTCCTGCTGTTCCCAGGTGTTCTGGGGGGTTCAGCTATACTTTACCTGTCCATGGGTGCCTTTCTGATGTCCCTGCTGTCACTGCACAGGTGTGCTGGCGCTCTGGGCCCTAATCACGCATGTGATGTACCTGCAGGATTACTGGAGGACCTGGTTAAAAGGGCTGAGGTTCTTCCTCTCCGTCGGGATCCTCTTCTCCGCCCTCTCCGGGCTGGGCTTCTGCGCCTTCCTGGCCCTGGCCATCACCCAGCACCAGTGTGAGTACTGGGAGGGACTGGGAATACTGGGGGAGGGTTGGGGACAGAGCAGGGCTGGGGATGCTCCTGCCACCTTCTCTTTTGGGGACAGCCTGCAGGGTTGTCACAGCATTTCCCTGCCCTGCTGAGACATCCAAAAAGCCTGGAATTACCTCATTTCCATGACAAAGTCCGAAAAAAACCTGGGAATTTCCTCATTTCCATGACAAAGCCTCCCCAAAAGACTGGGAATTTTGTCATTTCCATTACAAAGCCCCAAAAAACCTGGGAATTTCCTCATTTCCATGACAAAGCCTCCCCAAAAAACTGGAAATTTTGTCATTTCCATTACAAAGTTCCCAAAAACCTGGGAATTTCCTCATTTCCATGACAAAGTCCCCCCAAAAAACCTGGGAATGTTCTCATTTCCATGACAATGGTCACATCCATCCCTCTTGGAACAGCTTCAAGGCTTCAATCCCCACAAATCCTGAAATCTCCACAGTCCAGGAATCCCCATGATCTAGGAATCCCCACAATCCAGAGATCCCCCAAATCCTGGAATCCCCCCTAAAACCCAGAACCCCCACAAATCCCAGAATCCTCACAATCCAGGAATCCCCCCAGTCCAGGAATTCCCCCAATCCAGGAATCCCCACAAACACAGGAATCCCCACAAATCCCAGAATCCCCCCCCAAATCCTGGAATCCCCACAAATGCAGGAATCCCCACAATTCCCATCCCTGAACCAGGCGAGTTCGGGTTGGGGGTGGCAGAGCCGGGGCAATCATCCCACTCTGGTGGAATCCAGGGAATCCAGAGCTCCTGGGGGCTGGAATTCCCAAATCCCTGTTTTTCCCCCGACAGCCCTGACTGACCCCAAGAGTTACTACCTGTCGTGCGTGTGGAGCTTCATGGCGCTGAAGTGGGCGCTGCTGCTGAGCCTCTACTCGCACCGGTACCGGGCCGAGTTCGCCGACATCAGCATCCTCAGCGACTTCTGAGCCTGCCGGGAAAGGTGTGAGAGGCGGGGCACGGAGCAGGGAGCCCCTCCCGGCACCCCGGGGCTGCCTGTCTGTCTGTCTGGCTGGCTGGCTGTCCGCACAGAGGGGCTTTGCCTGCTGGCTTTTCCTCGCTCATCGTGGCAGGTTCCAGGAGGAGGGAGGGACAGGAAGGACTCCCGGAGTGCTCCAGGGGGTGGCAGTCCCCTGCCTTTGTCACTGCCCTGCTCCTGTGTCACCTCTCTGCTCCTGTGTCACCTCTCTGCTCCTTTGTGGGTGAGCACAGCTCATCCCAAAGTGTTCAGGGATGGGAATGCCGCCTCTACCAGAGCACAGCTCATCCCAAAGCTCATCCCAAAGATCCCAGGGAGGGGATGCTACCCCTGGCAGAGCACAGCTCATCCCAAAGCTCATCCCAAAGCTCCCAGGGATGGGAATGCTGCCCCTGGCTGCTCCCCGGGCTGGTTTTTAAAAGGAATGGGATCCTGTGTTTAACCATAAATGCCGTATTTAACGCTTGAAGTTGCAGCAGCAGGTGTGTGGGGAAAAGGTGTTTGGTGGAAAGGGGTGCAGGGCCTCTCCCCTGAGCCCCAGGGAGAGGATTCCTGGGGAAAAAATAAAGAAAAAAATGTTTCTGTGGAATCAGGAGGAGAGGGGAGGGGAGAGGGGCTGCTCAGGTGACCCCATGGATTGAGGATCACCTTTGGGGTGAGGCTGTGACCTGCTGGAGTCCCTAAACCGAGCCCCTGGGCCACGTTCTAATCCTGGAGTTCCCACCTCAGCTTTTTAAAGGTTCCTGTGTGTAAATATTCTCTATTTTTACATGGATTCCTCCTGGTTTGCACCTCGGGGGTGCTGGGGTCGGTGCCACCCTTGCTGTCACCCTGTGGCACCACAAATACAGCCCTCCCTCACCAGCCTGGCTGCACTGGAATTCCCTGGCATCCTGGGGAGGACGGGCGGGAATGGCACTTTTTGGGGTGGTGGGGAGGGTTTAACTCCTCACTTCCTCCTCCACAGGGAGTCTGAGCTGGATTTTCCCCTCACAAATCCTTCGGGATTCGGGGATTTCAGCCCAAAGGAATTTTGGGGGAAGTGGTGGTGATTCCATGGATGAGGTGCAGGGGGGCTTCAAGGGGGATTTGGGGTCAGCCTCAAGCGAGTTTCCATTCCCAGCCCATCCCAATCCCATCACTGGCCATGGGATGGGGTCCAGGGCAGGGGACACCCCGGGGACACCCCGGGACCCCCGGGACCCCCGGGTGCAGGGCCCGCAGCAGCCGCCAGAGGGCGGCAGTGGCACAGCCCAGGCTGGGGAGGGGGCACGAGCGAGACCCCAAAACCACCCGGGACACCCCAAAAACCAGGGACATCCCCAGGCCAGGGACATCCCTGTGCCCGGGGGCCACCGAGGAGCTCAGCGTGGCCCCGCAGGGGAGACCCGAGTCCCCACAAGGACCCAGCCCTGCGGTCCGAGGGAAGGATCCCAGCTGGAATTCCTGTCCCCTGGCACTGGGACAGGCGAGCACAGAGATCCTGGTGCTCCAACGAATTCCCAGGAGACTCAAAGCCATCCCCTCGCCCTGACCCCTTCTCTCCCCACAGCCCCCACAAAGTCCCAGCCACCTCACCGCATTCTCTGGCTGCAGCAGCCTTTCCCAGCCCCATTTTTCATAGAATTTTTCCCTTTGCAGCATTCCTCACTCCCTAGCACTGGGCAGCCTGAGGAATCTTCAGGAATTGGGGAGCCTCTGCTGGATTTTGAGAGATGTTTAGGGTCATGGAGGACCCCTATGGCTCTCACTGGGTCCCTTTGTGGGGGTGGTCTTGGCACCTCCTGAGGGTCCGGCAGAGGCCCCAGTCCCACTTTTCCTGCCCGTGGAGGGATTCAGAGGCACCCGAAGGAAAAGCACAGATTTTTTGCATTTTCCCAATCTGCTCTCAAGATGTGGCGAGGGCGGAAGCGGCGCCTCAAAGGCTCCGGATGAGCCTCGTGGGGCTGGGGACCCTCCAGGTGGCTTTGGGGGAGGGAGGTGCTGGGGACACTGTCCTCGTGTGCAGGGACACAAATCCCAGCTGGGTGTCCCCAGCGTGGCTCTGGGGGTGTCCCTCAGCTCCGGGGTGGGGCAGGGCTGCAGCAGAGGGGTCCTGGGGCTTCCAGAGGGTGATGCTGGCCTTGGGGACAGGCTGGGCTTGGGGACAGAGCTGGAGGGACCTGCAGGGGGGTCTGGACTTGGGGACAGAGCTGGAGGGACCTGCAGGAGGCTCTGGGCTTGGGGACAGAGCTGGAGGGACCTGCAGGAGGGTCTGGGCTTGGGGACAGAGCTGGAGGGACCTGCAGGAGGGTCTGGGCTTGGGGACAGAGCTGGAGGGACCTGCAGGAGGCTCTGGGCTTGGGGACAGAACTGGAGGGACCTGCAGGTCCCTGTTCCCAGGGGAATCCTTCCCCTGGAAGTCCGTGGGGGAAGTGGGGGCTAGGTGGGTGAGGCACAGGCACGGACAGGAGCATGTCCCAAACCTTCCAGGACACGGAGATGTCACCACACGTGTTGTCCCTGCTCCCTGGACACGGCACTGGCTCAGCTTGGGTTTGCCCTTTGTTCCCCAGCTGGGAAAAATCAGAAAATCCCCCAAATTCCACCTCACTCACGGCATCCTGGGCATCTGGAAGAGTCCCTGAGGAAGAGCTTGGGGCTGGAGCCAGGAATCCCAAAGGAGTGTCCTGGCTCCCAGGGGCCGTGTCCAGCTGGACAAACGGACACGAGCCCAGTCCTGCTGCCATCCCCCAGGGAATCCTCGTGCTCCAGCCAGGGCTTTGGGTGAGAAGCAGCCAAATTAAAGATCCCCAACGGAGCCGTTTTGGTGTCGGGATGAACTCACCGGAGCTGGGGGAGCTGGGACAGAGCCAGGCGCTGGGAGAGGGGGGAGAACATCACACACAGAACTGGGAATGGTTATTTTTAGGACAATTCTCAGCTTGGAGAGCAACCAAGGGAATAAAACGGTTCAATATGGGCCCAGTGCTTAACGAGGAGGCTGAAAATCCCCAGGCTGGGAGAGCTGGGAAGAGCCTTGGGGATGGGCTTTGGGGTTTGTGGAGAGCCCCAAGGGGCCGAGGCAAAGGGGTCATTAGGGGGTCCCAACCCCTCCGAGGGTCCCTCTGCTCCTTCCCAGCCTGGAGCTGGGCTGGAACCACTTCCCATGGAAGGGTCACTGCTTCCCTTCCTCCTCAGCTGGGAGTGGGAGAGAAGGACGTGGGGAATGGGCTGGAATAATGACCAGGGGGAAGCTGCTCCTCCGGCCTGTCCCTTGGGATGGCTCTGCCTCACTTTTAAGTGGCTTTTACCCCTTTTATAGGCTGATAAATCCCAAAATCCATCCCTTCCAGCCCTAGGGAAACCCCAAATTCCGCAAGACCCCGTGGTCCCCCTGAGAACCCCAGCCTCCCACAACACTGGGACATTTCCCTTCTCCAGCCTGGAAAAACCCCATTTTATTCCTGGTGCTGGAGGGGGTGAGGAGCTGTAGGATTCCCCTTCCCTGATGGAGAGGGGAGAGGAAAACCGGGAGAGGAGGAGGAGGCTCCATCCCTTCCTCCTCCACCTTTTCACAAACCCCCAAAATTCAACTCCCCATTCTGCAGCCGTGAAATCCCGGGACCTTTGAGCCGCTTCGTAAACCCCATAAAGCCCCCACAACTGGAGAGAAACCAACCCCACTGCGGCCTCCCCCCACCCGCTCCGCGCAGATCAAACGCCTTTTAATCGGAATAGAATTTCCTGGGACGAAATGAGGAAAATCTGTCGCTCGCATCCGCCCGGCAGCCGCTCCCCTGCCCCGGGCTCATCTTGGAGGAGCTTTTCCCTCCCCATCCCACTGCCCCTCATCCCCCCCAGCCCACGGAGCATCCCAGGAGCCCCTCGGGGAGCCCGGAGCCCTCTCAGGCCGGGAATGTGTGGTGGAGTCCCTCTGGAAAGGCGGCGCAGGAAATGGGCCCCTGCGGCCCCGCTCCGGAGCACCGGGAACTCGTTCCAGCCGCCGAGGGAGAGTTTTCCTTTCATCTCCGGCCAGGAGTTGAGCCGGGCCTTTCGTCTCTCCCCAGACACGGCTTTGAAGGCTCCGGGGGTGTCCCACATGTGCTGCTGTGGGGCTGGGAGGGGCTGGGGGCGGCTCTGGGGTCGGGAGAGCTCTGGGAGAGCCAGGTCCTTCCCTCTGCCCCTGCCAAGCACCCCCACCCTGCATGGTCTGAGGGGCTGGGGACACCCAGGCCTCGGGGACATCCGTGGGCGGTGGCTCCAGGTGTGGCTTGCAGCTCCAGGGGCTTTTCCGAGCCCCCTTTGGGCTCCGGTTTGGCCCAGCAGAGAGGCAGGAACTGAAGTCAGCTCTGAGGGATCTCAGCCGCTCACACAAAAATAATTTTGTGTTCTCTGGGAGGCAGTTCCATCCATCTGTCTGTCTGTCTATCCAGCCCTCCATCCCTCCTTCCATCCATGGATCCATCCATCCATGGATCCATCCTTGCATCCATGGATCCATTCATGGATCCATCCTTCCATCCATCCATCCATGGATCCATTCATGGATCCATCCTTCCATCCATCCATCCATGGATCCATTCATCCTTGGATCCATCCATGGATCCATCCATCCATCTATCCATTTATCTATGGATCCATTCATGGATCCATCCCTCCATCCATCCCTCCATCCATCCATCCCTGTGTCCATCCCTCCCGAGGGGCCGAGCCGGGGCTGATCCCAACATTCCCAACATTCCCAACATTCCCAACATTCCCAGCTCCGTGTTGGGAGAACTCAGGACAGCTCCCAGCAGCGAGCCGCGATCCGGCGCTTCGCTGCTTGGATGGCCAGATGGGAGCAGACGGGGGAGAAAAGGGGAGAAGAAACTTCCAGTGTTGGAATTACGTGGAACAGGATGGGCCCAGCCCGGGGATGGGGGAGCGGCACCCTCGGGGTCCCTCTCTCGCCTCATCCCAACCCCATCCCGCAGGAAAACACCGGGATCGCTCGCGGTGCCCCCAGGAACCCCCTGCACCCCCCGGGACCCCCTGACCCCGCGTTCCGCCCCAGATCCCGGCGCGTTCCAGGGACGCGAGGTCACCGCGCCGGGGAAGGAGATCGCGGGGCCATCCATCAGCCCGCCATCAAAGGGCCCCGAATTCCCGCGGGGTTCCCTTCCCATCCTCTCCCGGCGCCCCGAATTCCCGCGGGGTTCCCTTCCCATCCTCTCCCGGCGCCC